ATCACTCGCCTGCCAAACACGGGCATCCAATACCTCAACCCGTTGGAATCCTTCAATCCTTTCACCGACCAGCCTCGCACCCTCGGAGTCGGAGCCAGTCTGTTGTAGAGACCTATAGTATCATCCAAATCGCTCCGCCTATAGATCCCGACGGGCCTAGAATGTTGTCACGGCACACGGCGTTCATAACCGCCCGCAAAATCTGGAACGGAGGTGTCCCGCCTTCGCTTCTGTCATCCTTCTTCCGGGAGGGAGGGGGTTACTAGGTGGCTCAGGTGATTAGGTAACACAGCGGCGCGCCCTTGGAAAGTAGTCTAGAAGTATAGTAGGACGTAAAGCCTCCGTGTTGCGCTACACACTTACTACACCGGTTGGTGGTTGGTTGGTGGGTGGGTGAGTGTTGTGAGTTTGAGGGTTAGGGTAGTATATGGTGTTTACATCATGATGATAGAAATGATGTTGGTCCATTGTCAAAGGGAAGTAAATTCAAGTGCCAACAACAACCTTCCAGGCCGACATCGCAGTAGACATTGACAGGCATTACATCCCTTGCCGTACAAGTGGACAGTAAGCCAACTAGACCGGTTCCCGCCGGCTGATACATGTCTCTTGCTCTTGTCAATGGCAGGTGTCCAAAAGCCGGAAAGAGGAGTGTGCCTCGTCACTAATTGCCGATATAACTGACGTGGGATTCAGCCGTCCTTGCGACAATTGTATCATCTTGTCTGCGGTGCACATTGTTTCTATCGTATAAAATCGCATCGTATCTGGTATTTACGCCTTCCATGTCTGTTACTATCGATAAGTATAGCGAATGCTTCGTTTGGAACGCAGGATTCATCAGCAAAGCAGACGGACGGGATGGATGCGTGCAATTGCCGATTCCAGTATCCGCGACACCTACAAGTATGACGCCCATTCGGTTCGTTGTGAGAATGGGCTTTGTCGTTTGGGCTGTTGTGCGACAAGCCACTGCATCATAGAGGCCGAACGTTTAGTAATCGTAATGGGTAGAGGAAGGTAGCCGCCGAGGTCGGTGTCGGTTGGTATGACGCCGGGAGTTTTAGTCATTTCTTATACCACAATTTGGAATCTCTTTGAGTTATGTGTTGGTTCCTAGAGAGGTTCTTCCAGACGTCCTTTTGCTTTGTCGTGCAGTGGTCTGTCTGCATTTATAATTACAGACACTGTAAAGTTGCCGAAATGTCGACATTTCTGAAGGAATCGCCAATCACGATCTTGGCGTCCACAGTGGTGAAATCCACTTTTTTCAGTTTAGCGTTGGGTCAATCAGGGCAGGCGCAGGGTTACCTTGGCTTATCTCCATCCATTATTGGGCAGTTGGGCCATTTAGCGGCACCATTGCCATGCAAGAATCCACACCTCCATGTTCTCCATCCGTCCCCTCTCCGCTCTCCGCTCTCCGCTCTCCGCTCCCGCTCCCGCTTTTTTGTTTCCAGGTGGATTGGATGTCCCTTGTTGGATCTACACAGTAGACGACACTCATTCTCATGCAGACAAGACACCAAAACAAGAGAAAACATATCCCGAGTTTTTGTGTCTGCAAAGAACATGTCCCAGGAGCAACAAGCTTTTTGTTACTTTCACACTCTCCAGTACATCGATCCATCACATAACAGAAAAGTAGTGTATAGAATGACCAAAACAGCAAAGATACCAAGACTTCTTCGACTCTTCCCGAGTGGGAAAGGTGTGAATGACACCACGATCCCGCAAACGGCTGGCCGAGGCTCCTCGTCCCCGTTCCCCCCCTTTCAAACCTTTCAATTCGCTCCTTCCGCCGTGATACCACCTCGCCCTCACCTAATGTCGTATGCACGGATAGTCCTGTAGCAATGACTGCATATGTTCCTGCTCCGTGGATGTTTCCAAGACGACGTGTGGTTGATGACGGACCCCCTGTAGGGAAAGTAAGGTAGTAAAACTCTGGGGTTAGTACATATCCTTCTGTTACATCCATGATGCGAGCCATGTCGCTTTCCATTCATCGTTGGTTCTTCTTATCTAGGCACTTGCCCGCCTCTTTCCCCCCTCCCCCCAACAGCAAAAAAAAAAAAAAAGTTTCTTTGTTCTGTTTTCCTCTCCTTTTTCTCTAAAACCTGCACCAGAGAACATGAGATTATAATCTCCTCCCTCACCCGTTCAAGACACTGGTCCAAGGTGGACCAACAACCGGGTCCTCAACCATGGCCACCACCACAGGAGACATAATGGCCAAGATGCTCGACCATGAGACAGAAAATCCACCACCACCACCACCACCACCACCACCACAAGACCTTCCAGCATCAAATTACCCCCTCTCCTCCACAGACGACGTCTCCTCCCTTTCCAAACCACCAGTTAACGAACACCCCCGACGTCGTAACTCCTCCTCCTCTCACAGCGGCGCCCCCGCAAGCAGCACCTCCCTCTCCTCGGGCCACCTCGAAGCCCTGCACCAAGACGACATAGCCTCCATCGAAAACGCCACGCGCTTATCAACCGTCCAGACCCGCACATCCACCTTCTCCTCGGCCTCCCACCCTCCTGATTTCGAAGTTACGTTTTCTCCCGATGACCCCGAGAACCCCAAGAACTGGCCGCTGTGGTACCGATGCTGGACCATCTTCGCGTGCTCGTACAGCACGTGGGTGGTGGTTTTGTACAGTTCGTCGTACACGGCTATTGTTCCCGGGCTGATGAAGGAGTATCATGTTACCAACCAACCCGTGGCGACGCTGGGGCTAACGACGTACCTGTTTGGATTGGCGTTTGGGTGTTTGGCGCTGGCGCCGCTGAGTGAGCTGTATGGACGGAGGCCGATTTACTTGGTTAGTTTGGGGGTGTTTGCGTTGTTGATTTTGCCGTGTGCGATGCCGAGTAGTTTGGCGGAGATTATTGTTGTGAGGTTTTTTGGGTATGTTTCCTCTCTCTTTCTTTTTGTCTTCTCTCCCGGGTTGCGTTGTGGTCTGATGAAGCGAGTGAGTCAGCCAACATCTGAGCGAGATGCTGACGACTACACAAAAACACAGCGCTCTCTTCGGAGCAGTAATGGTCTCCAACTCGCCCGCCACCGTAGTCGACATCGCCAACCCGGACTACCTCGCCCTCTGCATGGCCGTGACCTCGATCGCCCCCCTCAACGGGCCCGTCACCGGCCCCCTAATCGGCGGTTTCGCCTACCAATACCTCGGCTTCCGCTGGGCCAACTGGATCGTCCTCATCCTTTCCGGCGCCGCAGTCATCTTCATGGCCACCATCCGCGAGACCTACGCGCCCGCCATCCTGCGCGCCAAAGCCGCCCGTCTGCGCAAGCAAACCGGCGACGACCGGTACTGGTCGCGCTTCGACCAAAAGGTTTCAACCCTCCAACTCCTCAAGACCAACCTCTCCCGCCCTTTCATCCTAGCAGCAACCGAGCCCATCCTCTGGTTTTTCAACACGTGGATCTCCCTCGTCTACGCCATCCTGTACCTCTGCTTCGTCGCCTACCCCATCGTCTTCAAAGAGCACCGCGGCTGGTCCACGGGGCAGGTCGGCCTGGCCTTTCTGGGAATGGGCTGCGGCACCGTCGCCTCCATCGTTCTCGAACCCTTCTGGCGCTCCATCATCAACAAGCGCACGTCCAAATTTGATCCCGAGACGGGCCGTCCTGCTCCCGAAGCCCAGGCGTACGTCATGACCATCGGCGCCATCCTCACCGCGTGCGGACAGCTCGCCTTCAGCTGGACCTGTCTCCCGGTCTCGATCCACTGGATCGTGCCCATCATCTTCGGCGTGCCCTTCGGCATGGGCAACACCATCAGCTTCATCTACGGATCCAACTACCTGGCCGGCGCATACGGGCTGTACGCCGCGTCGGCGCTCGCCGCCAATAGTTTCCTGCGCTCCGTGGCCGGCGGCGTCTTGCCGCTAGCGGGACCGAGCATGTATCGTAACCTGACGCCGCAGATTGCGGGGACGATTTTGGGCGTACTGGAGGTGCTGCTGATTCCGATTCCGATTATTTTCTACAGGTATGGAGAGAGGATTAGAGGGCGGAGTAAGGTTATTAGGATCATGCGGGAGGAGCAGGCGAGGGAGGATAAGAGGAGGGTTAAGCAGAGCGAAAGGGCCAGGAGGAGGGGTGGTGCGGCTGGGGAGAAGGATGAGGAAAGTGCGGAGGGGAATGGGATAGTGGAGACGGAGACGGGTGAGGAGGTGGTTGTGGCTTCTTCCACTTTGGGGACATCAGGGGAGAAAGAAACAGGCAGTGAAGAAGGGCGATGAAAAAGCGGTTTGATGACTTTTTGTTTTATGGAAGTGAGCGAGCGAAGGTATGATTGGAGTTAAAAAGTTATGATTGACGAGCGGGATGAATGAAAAGCGATCAAACATGACGTAACGCATGTGACCCGGTGATGATGGAACTGTGATTAGATGCGATTGTGTAATGTCCGAATAACACCGGAGTCCCGGTGGTCGTCCGATATTCCGTTACCATCTAGAGGTAGTTTTACCTACACCACCTTATCGGGATCACCTCAACAAACTCGAGCCGGGTCCGATGAAAGGCGGGAGATCAAGTGAAACGAGATGGAATGATGGAAAATATAATTGTCGGGTAACTAACCTCCTACCCAGTCGGTCGTTCACACGTTCCAACATATCGATAGCTCCTCAGTGTTGTCGATTGATCATCAGTAGGTACCTCTACGAAGAGAACCATCATGATGTTTAGCATATCTATCGTACCAGACGTCCGATTGAACCTCTGTAAGAGAAAATGATGCTGGCCAGTCCAAGACAGCTAGGAACAAACGATGAAATCCACAGCATAGGTACCTTGGTCTCAATCATCACGGGCAAAGCGCTCGCCCTTTCTTTTTATTTTTTTATATTTTTGGACAGGCCCCAAAAGCACCCGGTGCGCGGGGTGGCGGGAGGCGCCATTGAAGTTGCACAGTTCCTGGTACATAGGTGCAACTACCAGCAGGTCCTTCAACAACCAATAAGAAGGGCGTGTGGCTCAGTTGGTAGAGCGTTCGCTTAGCATACTTAAAGCATTCTTATCTCCAGATTGTGCAACTTTGTATGCGAAAGGTCCTGGGTTCGATTCCCAGCTCGTCCACATTTCTTTTTCCCTTTTTTTTCTTTTCCTGTTTTCTTGCTTCCGTCTTCTTTTTGCACTCTGATTCTCTATCTTCCAAGTCTTGAAAAGAGCGTGTAGTGTATTCGTCTTGCGTGGGTGAAGGAAGGAAGATAAATGTCCTGGGTGGGTGGCAACGTAATGTGAATAACTTCTCTGCTGCTATTGTGACCAATACGATGACGAGTAGCAGTCATACATAGGGAACAGGGTTGAATGTTGTTAACTCAAAAGAACATTTGAATCGACATTACGCACTCCGTCCGGCATTAATGCGTCGGACATTTGCCTATCGCAAGTTTCAGATCCAGTGCAGTAGAGTTGACAACTCATGTTGTTCTGGTGCGTCTCGTCTGTTGCATGGAAGAAGAAGAAATTGAACTTGCTTACCGGGATCATAATACTTGCTACTAACAACGAACGGTCCCCGCGCGCCCCGAGCTCTACTGAATCTGCTTTCTTTGAGTTTCGCGGAGATGTTGGAAAGGTCAATACAATAAATAGTGTGCTTGTTGCCACTTATCAAGGGCCTAGTCTAGACAGTTCGTTAGCATGGATACTAAGAGATATGGTGACACATGAAGCGAAGCCTAACCTAACCCGCACACACAAAGAAGAGTCCAGCCGCGCAAGTCAAATGCACTTCTTCAGAGTCCTTCCCGTCCAAATAACCAGATGTACTTCATTGGAACGTCAAAAGAATCATGGTGGTCGCATAATTGCGGAGTGGACTGGCACGGTCTACTCACTTCTATCTAGACGCTACTTAGTAACTGAACAAAAAAGATGAGTGTGGTTGTCTTAATTCAACACCTCCGAACTTTGGCAGTCTATCTATCGTTTGACAGAAGTCGATATCTGAAGAGATAAACTTGCAGGTGCCTGTGAGTGGCTGCCTGGGATGGAACAAATTTGAGTGTGGATATGTGTTATGGCAAGAAGTCGAGTTTGTTTGTTCCATCTTGAGATAATGATAACGATGCCAATGCTTGTAATGAAGCAATATACCGACGAGACTCGAGACGGTGAACAACGTCGGGGTTTAAGTCGTCCTTGGAGCGCAAACGAACAGATTTGGGTTGGTTGCCTAGTCCAGTTCAGTCAAATAAAACACACCACACGTACTCTATCTGCACTGGAGAAGGCGCAAACAAGAAGAACCTTCCACCTCATTTGTAGTCACAAGAGAGGAGAGAAACCCACAAGTCATGATCATTGATCCGTCTCACAGACCAAAGAAAAAAGAGACAAGTAAGAGAGATAGACAGGCTGCTTACCCAAGGAAGCAATAGCAAAAAAGTAACGCGACAATAGTAGAGACGCAAAAAGAGAAGGCGTTGTAAACGCCGGGAATTGAGCCCGACGTGGGGGTCGAACCCACAACCTTGAGATTAAGAGTCTCACGCTCTACCGATTGAGCTAGCCGGGCAGCTGAATGAGCTGCCATTGTTTAGTTGACTGCTTTACTCGTTCCATCATCTTGTATAGTCCAAGACAAGGGTGGATGTTGAAGAGTTTTTTTTTTTTCCCGTTCATTTTTAACGGCTGTGTGGATCGGTCTGGTCGGGTCTCGGTCGAGTTGGGTGTGTGGATCACATCGCGCGAAACGGTGTGGGATGGATGGAATTGGAAAAGTTCCACGGATGGAATGTTGCGAAGTGAGTGGGTCTCAAGCCTGTTGCGGTGTGGTCCGGGCCTCTGTAGGGCTGCGTTGCCGATGCGGCAGAGCAGAGCAGGGCAGGGCAGGGCAGGGCAGCGGCATTGCCTCAGCAGCGGGCGCATCCGGCAGGCAGTTTTAGCTTCCATGCGGCAGACAGGCATTGACCAAAAAAGCTTGGCAAGGGGACAAAGGCCAAAGGTGGGGTTTGATGACGCTGGCGGCTGGGCCGCGGGCGGTCAGTTGAGGAATGGGGGTTCGGACGCAAGGTGGACTGACCGGGACCTTTCTTACACAGATAAGATAAGGAAATGGCCCAATGACCGAATAGGGGTCCGCCTTGTTAGTGAGGGGACCTGGATGGGCAGGGCTCGGCAGGCTAGCAAGGGCAGCACGGCAACCCGCAACGTTCGTGAGGAAAGGGGACGTGACCGGTCGGTGTCGCTCGTTTTGCCAGGTTTGTGCTGTCTTTTGCTGGGCTGGCTGTAATTGTTGACTATGCTGGCGATGGTTGAGGAATAAATCTGAAGAAGAATTTTTGAATGATATGAAAGGAATTTCACTTGTACAAACCATATGGGGAGCCGTAGACTGTAATGCAGGTGTGCAAGTCAGATTGTTGATGTTGGGTGCAGCCTCGTTGTGCGTGGACTTGAGGTCGGTTTGGAAGATGACGCGGCGATCGTGAACTATTCAGCTCACAACATCCTCAATCCAGAACTGATGATTAAGTAAAAGAACCGCTGGAATAGAGAGGATATTGAGGCCAAATACATGTGTGAATTTTGACATTTGGAATTGTGTTGGGAAATGTGCAGTGTATCGCAGAGTGGTGAATGTGCAGTTGGGTGATGGCACGACCTCGACGCATCGCGACACCTCTTGACTTTGAGCCCATTTTCTGCACTCGCAAGTTTGAATGATCAATCAAAAAAGGGGTAGACATCAAGCAAGGACTCATAGCAATGATCCAACATAATTTGAGGAAGTTTAGACAGCCTGGTGTGGTGCAGTACGTTGAAACGCTTGATAGTGGTCATTTCGTGGATAGCTTCACCATCGCGCGACGAACCATCACGGGTGACTTCCGACACGATCGCAGATAACGCACCCTTCACCACTCCAATTGCAAAAAGAATAATGCAAAACGAAGCCAAATGGCATTCTTCAAATGAAGATGGCAATTTGATTTATTCAAACAGGGGTTGGTGTTGTGCTGTTACGATTTCGCTGCAAAGTACCGGTTGCGACGAAGGGCATGAAGAGATGCAAAAACGCGATGCAGAAAGCGACGGCCGCGAGGATGGAGCTCCTCCGACGTCATGACGTAAAGTGACATTTTGCAGTCATTTTTTGCGCTAAAAAGTATGTCAAAATCGGACGAAACAAAGGGCGAATCTCTCGCTCTTTGATTCCGGCCGGGCGGCAGAGCGAAGAAGCGAGAGAAGACGAGGAAAGCGGTTTTGAAGTCGAGATGGGGGATCGGGCAGCTCTCGAAATCAGAGGTCAGAGTCGACGGCCGGCGATGGTGGGGTGCGCATGATTGACAACCAGAGGTACAAAGTGGATGACCTGTGGTTGGGCTGCCCAATCAGAAATCCGCACGCCCCGCGAGTTTTTTGTTGCATCTGATTTGATTCGTCGCCCAAAGCGGAAAAGCGTCAAAACGGTGTGGCGGCCAGCAAAGGGCAGCTTTGGGTCTCAAACTGGCCTCACAACTGGCCGACAATGCCAGCGTCGCAGTCATCGAGAAAGGCATGCCGTTTGAAGAAATGTGCCACGCCAGCTCTGTTCCAAACTTGGTCATGGGCCCCCCTACCCTCTGTGATCTGCTTCAATCCCAATTGCGTCGAGTGTGGTGCCGGCCATGTGGTGTCGGGTGAAATGAGGAGAAAGAATGCGCAAGCTGAGTGAGGGTGAATTCGTCCGGTTGGATACATGAGACTGTTCTCTGTTTCTATCTGTCATGTTATGTGAGTGAACGGATCTGCTATGTATCCATTGGGATCTGATGTATAAGCAATCGGGCAGCTATCCGGGGACTTGGTTGAAACAATGTCGAGTAATGTGCCGTCGAGTCGGAAACGTAGCCATGCAAAGTCCTGTTGGTCGACGTTGCTTTCTTGGAAAAGTAGAGAGATGATGGGAGGATGGATTGATGGCTTCGGTTTGCCAGCCCCAGCCAGCCAGCCATGCCGACCGATATGCGACATGCCATGCCACCTCACACAAGTTGACGAGGAAAGGTGACGGGCGGTTCTTTTTAGGCCTGTGAAATGATGCCGTGTCCCACTCAGATCATCCAATCTGTCCAGGACCAAGCTCCATCTGGAATGGGCATCCTCTGGACCCTCAGTTTCGAAAGAGGAGAAATGGAAAGGGAAAGGGAAAAAGAACAAGTGGGATCGATGGGACATGGGACAGCATCATCTCCAGCCGGGCCCATGGAAACGGGAAGACAAGGGGAGGGGAGGGGAAGGGGAAGGGGGAACCGAGAGGGAAGGGAAATCTCATCAACAATCCAGTCCAGTCCCGGATCGTCAAGTGACATGGAACCTGTAAACTCCTCTTCCCTTCGCCGCCCCTACGAGACAAGCGAAAAGGTCCGGAGCCCCAGCTTCCACATTTTTTTGACAGTTCGTTCTTTCAGCGTGTGTTAGTGGGGTGCACGGGCCACATGTCCCCGGGAAATGGGCGGCGGCGGCGCCCAGGGTAGCGGCTTCCAGGAGGTCACAGAGGCCCCCGGGTCGCAGGGAAGAATCAGCGAAATCACTCGGTCGCGCCAGGAGACCCCGCCTCCATATATAAACACCCAATCTTCCCCCCTCGAGCGCGACAGCCCGCCCACCTTCTCGTCTTTTGTTTCTCTGTCCACGATCCAACCTCAACTTTGCTCACCCCAAATCCAGCGTTTTCCAATCGCTCAATCGTCGCCCTTTCATCCAGTTGCATTTTCAGCAAAACATCTTCAGCCTTTAGCCCTTATCACCATGCCTCCCAAGAAGACCGAGTCCAAGGCCGCCGATGCCTCTGCCGCCGCTCCTGCTGCTCCCGCCGCCGCTCCCACCTCTGCTCCCAAGACCAGCAAGAGCCCCAGCACTCATGCCTCTTACCAGGTAAGCCTCATTGAATCAGAGAAGGAATGCATCTTTGCTAACATGTCAACAGGATATGATCACTGACGCCATCGTTGCGGTATTTAACCCCGTTCATTTTTGTCGTGGCGTGTTTGGCTGTGGACGCTTCTGGTCGGTGAGCAAATTGAGACAACTGCTCTCATGATGCACGCAGCCAGGAGTCACCAACACCACTCACTACCTTTTTT